GAGAAGGCCCTGGGGTCGCCTGCAGCCTCCTGGCCATATCCGCCGGCTCTGGGAGTCAGAGGTTGAGCTGGGCAAGGGCTCCCCCTGCTGTCCGAGCCGCCCCACTGCGCCCTCTGCCGGGTGTGTGGGCACCAGGGGGTGACCTGCTGCTGGAGAGACAGCCCGCCTGGAGGGGTCTCACGCTTGTCCCCGCCGCTCAGGTGCGGCTGAAGATGCTGTACGCGGCCACGCGGGCCACGGTGAAGAAGGAGTTCGGGGGCGGCCACGTCAAGGACGAGCTCTTCGGGACAGCGAAGGTAATGCCCCCGCTGGACCCTCCGAGCCAGGGTCACAGGCCTCAGAGGACGGGACGGATCAGGGTCACAGAACGAGTGGGCACCAGGCTGGGGCATGAGTGGGAGGGCTGAGCGCCCAGGCGGCAGGCTGGGTGCTCAAGGGCTCCCGGCAGCCCGCCCGAGGAGCCCACTTCCGCCTCTGCGTCCGCGGCAGGACGACCTCTCCTTGGCCGGGTACCAGAAGCACCTGTCGTCCTGTGCGGCGCCCGCCCCCCTGACCTCGGCCGAGAGGGAGCTGCAGCAGATCCGCATCAACGAGGTGGGTGCGCGGGGGCGTTGGGGGGCCCCAGGCGCCCCCAGGCCTGTGCTCCCGGTGGCCGCGGTCAGGCTCGGCAGGGGAGGCCTCGCTCACGATGGCTGCCCCCAGGTGAAGACAGAGGTCAGCGTGGAGAGCAAGCCCCAGACGCGGCAGGGCCTTGCCTTCCCCCTGCAGCCCGAGGCCCAGCGGGCGCTGCAGCAGCTCCGGCAGAAGACGATCAACTACATCCAGCTGGGGGGTGCGCTCCCTGCCCGGACCCGCGGCGCTCAGCCCCCACCCCGCCCCTGCCCCCGCCTGCCCCCCCACATGTGCAAGCGTGCACACCCAGGTCCCCAGCCTGTCCACGCGGCTCCCCCGTGTGCCGGCGGGAACACCTGCCCACCCCACCCCCGCCCCTACCTGTTCCCATTTGGGTGCAGCCGCCGTGTGTCATGGATGCTATGTTCCCTGCCTGTCCCTGCTCCTGGGCAGGGGGCCTGGGACAGTCCCTCCCTCTCTCCGCCCGCACACGGTACACATAGGGCTCCACTGACTCCTGGCTCTCAGCCCCTTCCTGTCCCAGACTCCCCCTCACCCCCATCCCCCAGGCAGCCCGTCGGCCCCTGTGGTCCAGGCCGCCCCCTCTGGAGCCAAATGGCTCCTCCTTTCCAAGACACGGCCCCCCAGCGGCTGGCGTCTGAGGGTGGGCTGGTCCTGTCCATGGCCCTGGGGGGGACCTCTTCCCGCAGAGCTTTCCCGGGGGAGTTAGGGCCGGGACCTGCAGGGTGGGGGCCGCGGGGAGGGACGTCCCGGCAGAGGGAGCTCCTGCCCGCCACCCTCCCACCTCGGAGCTCGCCTGGCGGGTGGGCCCGGGCCCTGCCTCACCCCGTGCCCTGGCATCCCCCTGCCCTCGGCAGAAGCTGGACTTGGCGCGGGAGACGATCGAGCTGGTGCTCACGGAGCCCACGGACGTGGCCCAGCTGCCCTCGCGGGTGCCCCGAGCGGCCGCCCGCTACCACTTCTTCCTCTACAGGCACACCCATGAGGGCGACCCCCTCGAGTCTGTGGGTGAGTGGCACGGGGCCCCCGGGTGGGGCAGGGGCGGGGCGGGACTGCAGCGGGGGGGCCGCCCGTTCACCCCTCTCGCCCCGGGCCCCCAGTGTTCATCTACTCGATGCCGGGCTACAAGTGCAGCATCCGGGAGCGCATGCTCTACTCCAGCTGCAAGAGCCGCCTCCTGGACTCTGCAGAGCAGGACTTAGGGCCATTCCTGCCCGTTGGGTGGCTGGGGAGACTGAGGCCCTGTCCAGGGCTGCCCCTGGATGGCCGGGACAGCGAGCCCTGGCTCCGTGTCTCCTGTCCCGGGCCCGGAAGGCGGGGTGACCAGGGTGTGCAGGGCAGCGGGCCCCAGGCTCCATGTTCCTGGAGGTGGCCGTCCAGGTGGGGGTCTGGGAGGAGACCCCAGGCTGGAATATGAGAGATCAAGGAGCTGGGGTGGGGAGTCTGGGCCCCGCACCGGTGGGGTGACACTGCATGCCCCCCCCCAGATTGAGATCGGCGACGGGGCCGAGCTGACGGCCGACTTCCTGTACGACGAGGTGCACCCCAAGCAGCACGCCTTCAAGCAGGCCTTCGCCAAGCCCAAGGCTGGCCGGTGGACTGTGGGGCCGCCCGCCGCCCGCTCCTCGCCGCCGCCCTCCCTCCCGTCCGGGCTCCGGGGCAGGGTCGCTCTGGGGTGGGAGGGCTGGTGACTGACCCCTCCTGCCGCTTCTGAGGGCCACTGGGCTGGCGTGACCCTCCCCCCTGCTCTCCCTGCCCCTCCTCTGTGTGCCCAGCGTGTCAGGGACCCTGCCTGGCTGTCTCCAGGGCCTGGCATGGACTTGGTCCCCAAGGGAGCTGAGACCAGGGTCCCTTCACGGCCCGGACCCCTTTGGCCACAAGGGGTGGGGTCCGTCGGGGCCGGGCAGGGGGTCACGGTGGATGAGATGGTTGAATGCTGTATTTTTTAAAGAATAAAGTATTTTTAAAGCAACACCCGAGTCTGGCCTAACAGAGCACCTCTGGCCGTGGGCATTGGGGGGCCCTGTGCATGTAACTGCCCCTCCCCAATGTGAAAGGTGTCAGCAAAGACTGTCGTGGGTGCGAGGGCACCACCTCAGAAGGGTCCGCCGGTGGCTGGGGGCTCAGCGTGAGAGTCCACACCTCCCTGCGACATGAGGCCGGGTGTGTGGGTTTCCTATGGCTGCTCTAAGTTCCCCAAACTTACTGGCCACCCCTCTCGCCGTTGATTTCAGAGAGGAAGGAAGAGGGATAGAGAGAGAGATTGAAACATCCATGATGAGAGAGAATCATGGATCAGCTGCCTCCTGCACGCCCCCCACTGGGGATCGAGCCTGCAACTCGGGCATGTGCCCTGACCAGGAATCGAACCGTGACCTCCTGGTTCATAGGTCGATGCGCCACCACTGAGCCACACCGGCCGGGCCAAGCTTACTGGCTTTAAACGACACACACGCGCTCTTACAGGGCTTACACGCGGGGAATGAATCCAGGGCTCAGGCCAGGCGTGGGCAGGGCTGGCTCCCCTGGAGGCCTCGGGGGGCGTCCGCTCCCACACCTGTTCCAGCGGCCCCTTCCTCCCCTTCAGGGCCAGAGGCGGAGCGTCTGCTGCCGGTGATCCGCCTCCTCTGCCTTGGGAAGGACAGCTCTAATTATAGCCACTTCCCTTTCCTGGTGGCGCAGGGGATGCGCCTCTCAAACCCTTAACTCCGCCTGCCAGCCCCTTTATGGAGGAATAAATTTACAGGTGGGGCAGTGGGACGAGGGGCTCCCTGGGGGCATTCGCGGCCTGCCCCATGGGGAGCTCTGCCCACTGGGCTTCCCAGCCTCGGTGGGGCTGGGCTATGGCAGGTGTGTCTGGGCGTCTGAAATCTTGCCGTGTCCAGTCGTGTGTGTGCACGCACGCACAGGCTTCCCTGGCAGCTCCCGGCCACCTCGGGGACCTGGTTTCTGCCCCCAAGGCAGACGGTGGCTGCTGGGAGGGGAGAGGGCCTGGGTCTTTGGTCCCAGGGGCCCCGGGAGAGGTTCCCTGGGGTGAGGACTCAGCAGAGGATGCAGGGGTGAGGACCCAGGTCGACGGCGGGTTCAGCCACTGACCTGGCACTGTCCTTTCTCCTGTGGGCACAGCCCGGGCGAGGGCTCAGGGCTGTCCGTCCCTGCAGAAGGGGCCCCGCCCTGCCTCCCCCAGCAGAAGCCCTCTGCGTTCACTCATCATCACTCAGGACCTCTCTGTCCAGCTGAGGGCTGGGCAGCCAAGGTTCAACAAGCAGAGCACCTACTGTGTGCTGGGCACTGGGTGGGCCCTGGGATGCAGGCAGAAGCCGACGTGCCAGCAGGGCAGTCAGGCTATATAATAGACGATGCAAAAGCAAGGAAATGGCACGTTAATCGGTAAAAACTTACAAAAGAGAAAAACAGCCAGAAAAGGGGCTCAGCCCAGGATGAAGGTTTACCCACAGGCAGGGGAGGCCCCACTGAGAGGCCGACCTGTGAGTGGAGACATGAGGGCCCCCCCAACCCCCGATGGAGGCGACGGAGGATCTGAGAGAAGAGCTCTGGGCAGAGGGAACCGGCCGTGCACAGGCGGGAGCGTCACAGGTGTGGCCAGGCCGGCACAGGGAGGCCGGGGTGGTGGGGCTGGTCAGGGAGGCAGGTCCGACGGGGCCTTGGCCATGATGTGGGTGTGGCTTTGGCTCCAGAACGGGTCCTGGAGGGGCCTGAGCCGAGGAGGGGCCTCCTGTGACCGGGGGCCACGGGAACAGGGTGGGTGTGAGCACAGAAACCGGGCACCGTGAGGAGGGGCTGATGGCGTCGGTCTAGGCAAGAGATGGCGGGCGACGGGCAGGTGCCGGCGGACCTGAAGTGGAGCCCAGGGGCCTGGCTGGGGGGCTGGGGCCCCCTGAGGCGTGGGGCCCGACGTGGGAGGCCGAGCCAGGCGGTCCAGCCCGGCCACGGGGCTGTGCTCTGAGCGGCACCAGGGTGTGGGGGACGCCGACGGGGAGGCCCTGCTCCTAGAGGGAGTAGCAGGCCGGGGGTGCAGCTGCAGCCTGGGAGGCTCAGCTCCCCATCCCCAGGTCCCAAAGAGCTCTGGGGCCGGGCAGCCGGGCCAGGAAGGGCAGGTGCAGGGAGGAGGCGCCTGTGGGGCGCGAGGGTGAGGGGAGGCCTGGCACGGTGTCGGCATGCCCACGGGGTCTGGCACTGCCCCCAATGCCCGTTCCTCGGTAAGCGTCGCCTGGGCTTGGGCCCCGTGTCTCCCAGGACCCCCAGGAGACAGGTGTGAGGCCCAGGACGCACGGGTGGCCTTGTCGGGAAGGGGCAGGGGGTGGGGGGGCGAGGAGGGGAGTGAAAGAGGAAGGAGCGGGCCTCCTGTCTGCCATCTGACTATGCAAATGGCCTGACTCATTGCACGGCCCCCTAGCCATGGCAGGGAGGGGGCTACGAGGTTGTGAAATTCTCACTTCCTCTGCTGGCAGCAGTCAGCGGGAAGGGACTGGCTAAGCGAGACCCTCTGGACAAGCCCCTCTCCTTGTCATGGTAGGACCGCCGCCCTCTCCCCCCCGACCCCCGGGGAGGGGACCAGGGCCGGGGGCCGGGGGGCGGAGAGAGGTGGGCTTGGCAGCTACAGACAATGGGGGTCGCACTGTCACCCACATGTCCCCAGGGCACTCCCTGGGCCCTGAGGACATCAGAGCAGAGCCGTTTCTGAGCAGGAGGCCCCAACCCATTGCACGGAGGAGGAGGCTGCGGCCCAGGGCTCGCTCACTGTGGCCCAGGGGCTAATGCCAAGCTGGGCGCCCAGGCCTGGCTCTGACCTGCAGCAGGTCCAGGGCTCCTGGACACTGGGGAAAGGGCTGGTCAGTGCCCACCGGTACCCAGGCCCTGGACGGTCCCCGGCCTGGACCCCAGCGAGAGACCCTCATTCCTGCCTGGGTCTTGGCCAAAGGGAGAGGGAGGGGTTGGGGAGCAGCAGGCGGAGGGTGGAGGGGGCTCCTTGCTCAGGAGAGAAGAGAAATGGGCTGAGGACGGAGGGAGAGTGGGGGAGCCTGGGGCCTGCGGGCTCTGGTGCAGCTGGGGTTTGGTTATGAGTGAAAGTCTAGAGTCTAGACCATGAGTCTGGGTTCTGGGTCTCAGAGGCAGTTCTGCGTCAACGGCTGAGTCCCCGACCCAAGTTGACCTGGGTGGGGAGGTGAAGCTGGGCTGGTACTCACACTGCCTGCCCCCCTTCCTCCCCACAGGGCCCCTGCCATGGCGCCCCGCTGCCCCTGTCTCTCCTGGTTCAGGCCCAGGTGCTGGCCCTGGCGCTGTCCCAGGGCGCCCTGCCCGCCTTCCTGCCCTGTGAGTTTCAGGCCCCCGACTACATCAACTGCGAGTGGCTCTTCCTGTTATCTGTGCCCCACTTCTCGGCGTCCTCGCCCCGGGAGAATATCACGAAGCTCTCCCTGAGCTGCAACCGCATCCGCCACCTCCACAACTCCGACTTCGCCCACCTGCCCGGCCTGCGGTGGCTCAACCTCAAGTGGAACTGCCCGCCCAGCAGCCTTAGCATCATGCACTGGGCCTGCCACATGACCATCGAGCCCCATACCTTCCTGGCCGTGCCCACCCTGGAGGAGCTGAACCTGAGCTACAACAACATCACCACCGTGCCCGCCCTGCCCCACTCCCTCAGGACCCTGTCCCTGAGCCGCACCAACATCCTGGTCATTGACGCCGCCAGCTTCAGGGGCCTGCACGCCTTGACACACCTGTACATGGACGGCAACTGCTACTACCAGAACCCCTGCGGCCGGGCCGTGCAGGTGGCCCCCGGCGCCCTCCTCGGCCTGCACAACCTCACCCACCTGTCGCTCAAGTACAACAACCTCACGGCGGTGCCCCGCGACCTGCCCCCCGGCCTGCACAACCTGCTGCTGTCCTACAACCGCATTGTCTCCCTGGGGCCTGCGGACCTGGCCAACTTCACCGCCCTGCGTGTGCTGGACGTGGGCGGGAACTGCCGCCGGTGCGACCACGCCCGCAACCCCTGCGTGGAGTGCCCCCCGGGCTTCCCCCAGCTGCACCCCGACACCTTCAGCAGCCTGAGCCACCTGGAAGGCCTGGTGCTGAAAGACAGTTCCCTCTCCAGCCTGGACACGCGCTGGTTCCGGGGCTTGGGCAACCTCTCCGTGCTGGACCTGAGCGAGAACTTCCTGTACGATTGCATCCAGAACACCACGGCCTTCCAGGGCCTGCGGAAGCTGCGCAAACTCTACCTGTCCTTCAACTACCACAAGGGCGTGTCCTACGCCCACATGACCCTGGCGCCCTCCTTCGGGCGGCTGCGCGCCCTGGAGGTCCTGGACATGACCGGCATCTTCTTCCGTGAGCTCAGCGAGAGCACGCTGCGGCCGCTGGCCCGCCTGCCCGTGCTGCAGACCCTCAAGCTCCAGATGAATTTCATCAACTGGGCCCAGCTCAGCGTCTTCCAGGCCTACCCCAGCCTGCGCCAGGTGGATCTGTCCAACAACCGCATCAGCGGGCCTCTGGGGTCCAACGCCTCCACGTGGGAGGTGGGTGCCGGGGGGGCGAACTGGCGGCCCGCGGGGCACCTCGCGCCAGACCCCAGGGACGCCCCCAGCTCTGAGGACTTCATGCTGAACTGCAAGAACCTCAGCTTCACCTTGGACCTGTCGCGGAACAACCTGGTGACGATCGAGCCGGAGATGTTCGCCGGGCTGTCGCGCCTCCAGTGCCTCCGCCTGAGCTACAACAGCATCTCGCAGGTCAACGGCTCCCAGTTCGTGCTGCTGACCAGCCTGCAGGTGCTGGACCTGTCCTACAACAAGCTGGACCTGTACCACGGCCGCTCGTTCACGGAGCTGCCCTGCCTGCGGGCCCTGGACCTCAGCTACAACAGCCAGGCCTTCACCATGCAGGGCATGGGCCACAACTTCAGCTTCGTGGCGCAGCTGCCCGGCCTGCGCTACCTGAGCCTGGCGCACAACGCCATCCACAGCCGCGTGTCCCCCGAGCTCCGCAGCGCCTCGCTCAGGGCCCTGGACTTCAGCGGCAACGCCCTGAACCGCATGTGGAATGAGGGGGACCTCTACCTCCGCTTCTTCCAGGGCCTGAGCCAGCTGGTCAGCCTGGACCTGTCCCGGAACCACCTGCACGCCGTCCTGCCGCACAACCTGGGCCACCTCCCCCGGAGCCTGCAGCGGCTGCGGCTCCAGGACAACTACTTGGCCTTCTTCAACTGGAGCAGCCTGACCCTCCTGCCCCGGCTGGAGAGCCTGGACCTGGCGGGGAACCAGCTGAAGGCCCTGACCAACGGCAGCCTCCCCGCGGACAGCAGGCTCCGGAGGCTGGACGTCAGCCGCAACCGCATCAACTTCGTGGCCCTCGGCTTCTTCGCTCCGGCCACGCAGCTGCAAGAGCTCAACCTCAGCCGCAACGCCCTCCGGACGCTGGACCCCTCGTGGTTTGGCGCCCGGGTGGCGTTGAACAAGGCCTTAAAGTTAGGTACTGCTCTATATACTGTATTTCATGTGTTTCTTACAAGTTCTTAAACATTTCCTGGGTCCATCATTGAGAGCGTTAGGAGTTTCAAGACAACGTGATAGTTTTCATAGAAGTATATAAGAAACTTCAGTATTTCAGCTGTTTTATTCAAAACACCATAACCACTTCAAACACAGTTGTTAATATAACCAGTATTCTCATAATTTAGAAGCTTTATACACAAATTAT